CCTGGACAAACAGATCCCCAACTCCCTTGCGCACCTCTCGCCTCCAGCCCGCGCAGTGCCCGCACAAGCACTTCAGCAAGGCTGTGACGGAAAGACTTGCCTGTGAAAAACAGAAACTAATCCATCCTCAGCCATTCTAGTCCCTCCCTTGGCCAGTAACGTACCGAGGTTCCAAGGCCCGCTCTCAGCTGGCCTGGGAAAGGAGTTAAACACCAATAAACATCCAAAGCTTTTAGCGGCCGCTGGACCCCACGTGCCCGAAGGAACACTCCTCTCACCTGCTGCACTCTCCTTGCCTGGAGCCACCCTGCCAGACCCAAGGCAATCAAAGGTTCTTCTCTACTTCATTCCTTAGTTTTGCTGTGCAGTCACTGAGGGCTTTTCAAACTGCTTTGCCTTACGGGTGGCTGCAATTCTCTAGAAAGGTTTAACCGCTCCTACCACATTATGGGATTCTTCCAGATTAAAGTCAGAAAAAACCTGAGCCCATAATCATTACTCCAAATGCACAAAGTATCACTTCCACCCCCTGTTTTCCCCCATAACATCCTCCAAAGCTTTGAAACTTCATGACAGGCTCTTGCTTGCCCTCTGGGTGCAATTAGACCACTTTAAAGATCCATCTGAAATGCACCAGCTCCGTCACACACACACACACACACAAAATTTCCGTCACCTGCTCTTTTTCTACAGTTTCCTTTGACTTTGCCACTAAGAACATGCAGGAGAGCACAACATAAGACAGCTGCACTCACTGCTCAGGAATGTTAACCAGAGACTGAGAAAGGGGAGAAAATCTTAGTGCTTTCCAGGTAGCATGTGAGCTGGGCAAAATATGATCAAACTAGTGATACCCTGCCCTCTGATAAACAAGCACTGAATCCTCAATTCCAAAAGAAATGAGTGGATGTGGACACCTCCACCGCGGCAAATCTACTGACAGCTTTCAGTCAGAAGCACCGTTCAGTGTCCCACAGCCACCTAACACCACGCTAGGAAAGCTGTATTTAAATTACTCCCCCAATATACCATTAACAGCTGTACTGCAGCCAGATGACTTAGGATACAAGGGAGAAGCAGTGAGAGATCCCACCTCTTCTCGCAAACTTGGCTTCTGCTCACAACTTTGCTTAAAGAATATCAAGGATTTCCCATTTCTGAAACCACCAGGAATAGCCTTAGAAAACACTGGGTTGCTGCACAGTCAAGCGTTACGTGTCCTTAAAAATGTCACTCTGGAGATCACAAAATCAGCATAATACAGCTCCAGCTCTTTGGATAGGCGACAGGTACCCACTTCCAAACTGGCGTTGGATTTCAGATATCCCCCGCTTCTTCACTAAGATCTAGACACAGGAATGAAAACTGTTCCTCCCTCACTGCTGTCCACAACTGCTACAGCCCAGCAGCCTCCCGAGGAACACTGCCGACACATCCAGCACCCAGGGCAAACACTTTACCTTGGAGGAAGCTCACCATCGGCCATCCAAGCTGGCACGGAGAAGCGAAGCCCAGCAAGACACCACCATGACCAAGTTCCTAAACTGTGGGCAGGCTTTTCCTCAGTCAAAATGTCTCTTCCGCTATCTGTGTGCGTGTATGTGTGTATCGCTCTTAAGTGATGTAAACAGAAAGGCATGCAGAACAGTGGGCGATATGTAAATTCAGCTGGAAAATCCCACAGCTCAGCCAATCTCCGCTGCGCTGCCTCGCAGCTTTGCCCTGGCTGCTCTGAGACTGAAGAGGGTTAGTCTAGTGCAGAAAAAACAACCACTCTCTTAGCACACACGGATTTATTCCTCTGATCAGAGAAATCTCCAGGGACAGGACAGTCCATCGCTCACTTTAAAAGGAGTTTGAGTTTCTCACCCTCTTTAGATAGTTCCCAAACTATTCATAATACTGAGTATCGAGCAGCCTAACAAACAGCCACAGAGTCATCCAGGGAGATCCAGTTAACTAAGAATTGCCACAAAAAGGCAGAGCTGGTGAGCAGGGCTCGGCTGAAACACAGGCACTGATGGTGGGGGATTTCTACTGCCGGGACACCTACCCCACCCAGGAGAACAGCGTGCTCCCACAGCTGAGGCTCTGACAGGAGCAGGCACTGCAGGGAGAGCTCTCACCCCACACCCAATACACCTCTGGCAGCTTTTACACCTCATTAAAAGCAGCAAGGCAACTCTGCTGAAGCTCCAAACTCAGGCTGTGCCTAAGTCAGCAAGAGAGCAGTCTGTAAATGGGTAAATTGGGGTGTCACTGCCCTGGAGTGCCAGGGGAGTCACTGAGCTTGAAAGAAGGGCAACAGTACCCCTGTGAGCAACCACCAGCCTCCACCCCTGCCCCAGGCAGCCACTACATCCCCCAGCTCGTGGGCAAAAGGACATGCCAGTGTGTGCTTCACCATGCCCACAGCAAAGGAGTACAGCCAGGGAAGGGAAGGCAGGGGGCATAAAAATAGGGAAGGAAGAGTTCTGACAGACTGAACTTGTCCACATAATCAGAGTATTGAGCTAGTGAAACCAGAAAGGATTTTTTTTTTTTTTTCTCAAATGCCTTTCTCCTGGCACAGCTGGGCTTGGCTGAGACAACCTGAGAGGCAGGTACGATCACGCTTCAGAACACGCCAGTCACGGCTAGCGGGGGCCAGGAAGGTCCTGCGGAACAGGCAAACGCTCAGCCCAGGAGGTGACTAACTGCTGAACGCCAACTGAAGTGCAAAATGCTCAGCACTGCCCAGGACCAGCCCTGGCTGATGCACAGCCACTTCTGCGGCAGCTCTCGGTAGGACAGAGCAGGCACCAGCACTGTCGCACGGTGCTCGGCAGCTTCCCAGAGCCCGCGGGCCTCCCTGCAGCTCCAGCACCGAGTTGTGTTTGTGGAGCCCCAGGAAGAGAACAGTTGACTGCAGAAGGGTTTCAGCCAGGGGACGCAAACTTAATTATGGTTCTTCATGCGTGGCTTAAGGTCATCTACAGCTGTGCTGCCAGGGGAATGGGCAGTCATGGGCCCAGCCCCACCACTCTCACACTGCAGAGTGGCTGGTGTCACCGTGTGATCCCTTGAGCCAGCGAACAAATCTGCCTGAAAACTTGGATTATTTTTTTTTTTTCCCCAGAGTCCAGGGAACACCGTGAAAAATCATGTTTGGGTGTTACCAGGGAAGGTACCTGCATTCCCTGACTGAATGTTCTGGTCACTCCAGTTCAGTTTAGGTTGCTCACTGCCACTTGGTAAAATTTATCCTCTCTCGTCACAAAATGTTCCTTTTTGCAGGGCAGCTTCACCTGGAAGCGATCTGCTGCTGCACGCTGCAGCGAACCAAACCGCAAAGCTGGAGCTTTCTGGCTGGATTTACCCTGTCCCTTCTCAGCCTTGAGACCAGCAGCGCCCAGGGTGGGGGACCCCAGGACTTGGAGGGGGACCCAGCAGGCTGTGGACAGTTCCCTGCTCCTTCAGTGTCCTGCATGATGCTTAGGAAACCCCAAAACCCTTTGATCTGCCACTCTCCAGGTGTGCAATGAGGACAGCACCAACTATTCCCTTGCCAATGGTAACAGCCAGCTCTTTGGACCTGTAGTCAGCAGACACAGTACTTCACACAACGCAGCCCCAGTTTTTGGTGGTGCACTGGGTTATCTTCACAACACGCTTTCTGTGAACCACCTCCCCTCCTCACACAGCTCCCAGGGAGTCACATAAAGGCTGTCAGGGAAGCGGTCGACTTTCTCATGCCACTTTCCTTCAGTAAGGGCTTTCTGGAACTGTACTTTGCTCACACAGCCCTCTCCCTGAAAACCCAACAAATGTCACTGTGGCCGTAAGCAAGAGTCACTCACAGACAAATTCCCAAAGCCAAAATGCAACAGCTATTTGACAGGAACACTAAATGGTTAGGACAGACTAAAAAGAATACATCACCAGGGTGAAAATGCACAAGGAGGCAAAATTGAAGTGCCGGGATTTAAATGTTTGGCAACATTGTCAAAGTTGAAAAAATAACCGCTAGGCCAGAGTTCTCCACAATACAGTTACCTCCCCGGGGGTACAACAGCCTGGACCTGGCTTGCCATGTACATATCAAACGCGGCTAAATTACGTACCAGACCTCTTCCCACACTCATCAGCCCCCAGCAGACCCTGTCTGAGCCCTTGTCTTTGACACCAACAGAGCTCAAAAGCAAGCTGAACTGAAAGAAGGACCTCACTTCTGGCTTTCATGCAACACAACAGGGATCACCGGGTCACAGTCACGGATCAAACAGGAGAAAAGTCTTTGACAGCAAGTCTGTCAGAGGAACAGCAGCTGTGAGCTGGCAGTAGAATAAGGCAGAACTAAATAGCGTATTTGAAATGAGAAGAGGATAGAGCACTGCCTGCTCCGAGATGTGCGACTGTCTTGGGGCGGTTATGGAGATCTACCACCAAATATCCTACATTGCGTAAGTTGTGAAACCAAGGCACAGGGAAATGAGGTTACTGGGAGCTCAAGAGAGAACCATCAGCAACACGTGCCCTAAGTTGGACAAGTAATGGAGCAGAAAAAGACAAAATGAAGCACGCCCCCCCATGAGATACCTCAAACAGCAAAAGGAAAGCAGCTGGGACAAAGAAAGCGAGACAGGGAGAGGCTTCACCGAGGACCGAACAACACAGGAGAGGATACACCGGCTTCTCCGCGCACCTGAAAAATCACACTGGCACTTGCCCAGAGTTTAAAAACCAAGACACAAACCACCCCAGGGAGGGGAACGAGGTGGCAGAAGACGCGGCAGCGCTGCCAGGTGGGCGGTAGCCCCCGGAGAAGCCCCGCAGGCCCCGGAGGAGCCCCGCAGCTCCCTCCCCAGAGCAGGGTGTCCGTCCCGTCCCCCCGCCCCAGCCCACCACGCAGTCCCCGGCCCTCGCCGGCCCCGTTGCCCGGCCCGGCCCTTCCCCTCACAGAGCTCCCTCAGCCACAAGCCCACCCGGCTCCCCTCAGCTCGGCCCAGCCCCGCTCGTACCTGGCGGCGGCGGCCGGAGCGCCGGTGCCCGGCCCCGGCACATCGCGACCCCGGGCCTGCTCCCCGCTCGTCTAGCGGCTCAGCTGCCGCCCGGGCCGGAAACCCCGCGCCCCGCGCTCCTCGGGATTTGTAGTCCGTCGCGCCGCCCTCCCACCGGGCTCCTCGCCGCGGCTCCGCGACGCTGGGACTACAACTCCCAGCAGACCTCGCGCCTGAGCGCTGATTGGCGCTTTCCCGGTCACTCTATGTTACAACCACTGTCGCTACTGGCTTGGCTCGGCCTCCACCGGGGGCCAATCCGACGGCGGCAGACCACCGCCTCGGGCCACGCTGCGCCGCGCGGCGCCATTGGAGCGGGGAAAAGCAGCGACCAATGAGCGCTGGGGAGAGGCGGAGGGGGGGGGGGCCGAGATCACGCCAACCGCTCGTGATTGGCCGCGCCCGCGGGCAGCCTGCCCAATGGCGACGCGGGGGGAAGCTATAAAAGCCGCCGCGGGGGCACGTGGCCGGCCTTTCCCGGCAGGAGGTGAGCGGGAGAGGGGGGGCGGTGGCGGGGCCTTTCGCGGGGTCGGGCCGGTGATGATTTCTTATCTACGTTTCTGACACCTCGTCTGAGGGCGGCGGGCGGCCGCCGGCCCCTGCTGACCATCCCCGGCTGAGGCCCGAGGGGAGCCGCGGCGGGGCCGGGCGGGGCGGGGCGGCCCGCTCTCACCGCGCGGCCTTCTCTCCTCAGGGCTCGGCGGGAAGCGGACGGCGGAGGCCTGAGGGGCGATGCGGGAGCCTGGTCTCGGCGGCCCGGGAAGCGGCACCCCCCTGATACAGGGCCTAGATAGGAACAGGGGATGTAAGGGTTAATATGGGAATAGCAAGAAGGGGGTGACAAGGGAAATAGTTGAGATAACAGTTCTGCTTAATGAGTAGATAGTTCGTAAAACATGATGAGCTGAGGTTTGGCGACCCAGATGACCCTTCGGGGCGGTGAAACGCCCGGTCGGTTGTTTCTCGCGTACCATGCAGCCTCGTAATTTCTGGGCTCTGCAACTGCAGGGAAAGCACTCGGGCGGGTGAAGCTGGGGCTGGAGGAACTAAGCCGTGCCTTGGCATAGCTGCTGTGCAAGAGGGAGTGTCGGCTGCGGGCTCCGAGTGTGCGGGGCAGCTCCGAGTACGGCTGAAAATTGCGTTTTCTGGGGTTGCAGTATGAAACGGGGAAGCTGCTGTTGCTCACGCAGTACAGCTTAGTTTTCAAAGCACAAAGAAGCAGCTGCAGAACTGCCCGAAGTACAAGAAATACACAGGCATCGACTTTCGCCGTGGTGGATATCTTGGGGTCCTTGATGCTAACTAGCTTTTTGGAATATATCAAGTTCCTCGGGCCATGTGCTTTTCCCAGCCTCAAATCAAGTTCAGCCTGTAATTGTTACTTTTTTTGATGCTGTATCTCTGCTTTGGCTTCTGTATCAGGCCAATTTTATGCCTTACAGATTTAATAAAGTTTTCAAAACATTCCTGTTGCTTCTGTGTTTCACAAATCCCACGGGTAGCATGTAACACCACAGACCAACTTCAGACTTTGCATTTGGGCACACTGGACCATTTCTACAATTAACTATTCACTTGAAGGGAACCAGAACATCCTAAAACGAGTGCTGCAGTGTAGCTTAGCCCAGCTCCCTTTTCATTTTCATTGGGTGCACTGGAGCAGCTGAACCCTTGCTTGGTAACTGAAGCATCTAGATGGGTTTGAGAAGGAGCAGAACTATGAATGATTAACCGATGCAGGTGTGTGTTAGACAAAAAGCCATTGTAGCCACAGAGATTATTAAAAAAATTTATTAACGGGAATGAAACAAAAGCTGTAAACAAGAGCCAGCAAAAATGAGAAGTTGCATGTAATGCCGAGTCCTCTGGCTTGTTTGAATGCACTGAACAATCAATTCTTTATCGCTTGGTGGCAGTAAAGACCCATGTGAGAAGATGACAAATACCGGTCTGAGGAGGCGCTTAAGGGCCAGGTCAGTGCAGTCTTGGGGAGACCAGTCCTACAGCAGGAACTTGTGACTGGGGGCTGAGTCTGGCTTAAAGTTTAGGTCTAATACCACAAAAGCAGTCGTGATGTCTCTGCTGTAGCAGAGCTAGCTCCTGATGGGCATATTTAAAGTATTCCAAGGGGCAGCGTTTACATCTGCCTTATTTAAATCAGTTTTTTAATGGGGTTTGGTCCCGCACATGTAGTAAGTTAACAGTTGTCGGCTTTTTCTTCCAAGACAGCAAGATGCAAGGCTCTCCTGCCCTGCGAGGAAGAGGGGAGGCAGCAACCTGCTGGGAACATTAAGACTACTGCTGCTTATTTTTGCCTTTTAGACTGGAGCTTCTGGGGTAGCGTGGCCGTGCAGCGCCTGGCACCTCGGGGCAGGGGCTGCTGCTGCACCGCTAAGGTCAGGCTGAGAAAATAAAGAGCTGAAGGCAAGACCTGGGCACAGGGCAGGTACTGGGGCTGCCCGACCACCGCTCTGTGCCTCTGCCCTTCCCTGCGCAGCTGGGATGCCACCACTGGTACCTTGCAAACTCAGGGATTGCAGAAAATCCTAATCCTTTTTTTTTTTTTTTTTTTTTTTCCCTCTTCACCTCAGCCAGCAAGCGTCTGCTACACAGCCCAGCATGAGAATGGAGGTGGCTGGAAGATAAGCGGCTTCGTGTAGGAGACGCTGCTCAGGCAGCAGCCACGGGAGCACAGCGAAGCTCACCAAAGCAGCGGGAAACACTGAGTTTTCCAGATCCCCGCACGCTTCTTGAGAGTGCCCGAGCAACTTTCAGAGCCTTCCCCGTGTCCTGTTGCTACCTGTGAACAAATCTCAAAAGCACGCTTGTAGCGGGCATTCCCACCTTTCAGAGCACGTAAAGGTGAAGAGAGTTGTCCTACTTATTTCAGAGGAAGTCCCAGCTTTTAGGATCCTTTTTCATACTTTTCCTGCGCAGGACCCACTGAGCAGCAGCTTCTCATTTTACTGTAGCTCTGAGGAGTCCCTGCCTGCCTGAATCGCAGGCGGTAGCTGCGGAGGGTCTTTGTGCAGTGCTGGAACCAACACCCCCAGCAAAACATGGGGCAGGGGCGGCTCGAGAGCGAAGGATGGGTTATTTTATTTTCAAGTGGTTCATTTAGGGCAGTGTGGGGAGGTTCAGTGCAGCGGGCACCTGGTGTCATGCACGTGGAATGAGAAATTTTTTTTTTTTTTTCAAATGAGAAGACTGCCAAAGGCCAAATACTTGATCCAAATTCAAATTTGTACTTAAAAGTGCAGCTTTTTTTTTTTTTTTTTAAAAAAAAAAAAAAGCCAAATGCCTGACACAGACCAAAGGAGTGAGGAGTCCATTGAAGAGAGCTGGCAGGAGAGTCTGAAACCTGTAAAACCAATGCCTCCAGCGTTCCCTCCAGCTTTCTTCAGTTAAAAGAAAGAGCTGTCCCAAGAGAACTTTGAAGATATCAAAGCATTGTTGCAGTCTAAAAACGCTATCACACTTACATGAAGGCATTTAGAATAAGCTGCAATAGATTAGATTTCTTCTGAATTAAAGTACTAGAAACGGCAGAAGTAAGAGAACCAAAGCCTTTACCGAACAGATAAACCTTCAGGAGATCTCTGTACAACAGAAGGGTAGCAGGAGCTTACTCAGACAGACAGCTAAGCTCTTGTCTTCTGCGGGGAAGAGGAGAAACCTTCTTCGAGGAGGTGTGTTACACCACATGAGAGATGGACAGACAGAAGTAAGCAACTACAAAAATGGTTGCCTCGAAAACAAGTCTTTCCTGTGTGCCCAGGCCAGGGCTCTGAACGGCTGAATTCCAGGGACGCGGGGAAAGAAAAGGGAATTTGGGACTTTTTCCTACCCGGATTGGTGGGGAGAAGCATTTGTTCCCCTTACTCACACCGTAATTCTTACTAACCTTAAAGAAGCCTCATAAGGCTTCTGGCTGCTGCTGAATGGGTGGAGGCAGCCGCGTCTACCGACTGCCCCGGCCCCCCCGGTCCCTTCCCAAACACCCACCTCCCGCCCGCGAGGGGCCGAGCGGCTGCGAGGGAAGGCGGAGGGCTCGGGGAGCAGCGCCTGTCCCATCTGAGAGAGCTTTTGCTGCTGCTGCTTCCATCCCCCATGTCTCTCGGCTCACCTTTGGGGCAGACACAGACACGACAGACAGACATGCACACATTGTCCACGAGGAGAGAGCGCGGCGCACAAACACTTGGCATGAGTCTCTGTACAAATGCACCGAGCACATTAGGACCTGCAGCAGCCCGAGCCTCTCACTTCCTTCTTCACGTAGTCGTGGAGCTTGAATTTGGGCTCGTTGGGCAACTTCATGGACCTGTGCTTCAGTTCTCTGCGGGAAGGGGAGAAACACGTTAGTTTTAAGCCTACGCCGCCTGCTTCTAAGTTGCCTGGCGTTGCCCAGTTGAACTCAACGTGGTCTAGATGGTTTGCTAAAGCTCCCCGTGATGAGACGTTTCGTGTCTCCTGTGAGGTGGCCAGGACTTGCCAGCACAAGAGCTGAAGGTGGGAGCCCAGGGAGTGACAAGGTGACCGTGCCAGCCTTTATCTCAAAGCCTGCTGTCCCCGCCGCGGGAGAGGCGCTCAGCACGGCCGCTCTACCAGTCACTTACTTTGCAATGGCTGTGAACGCTAATTCAACATTGAGGCCACTTTTTGCGCTGGTCTCCATGAAGGGCACTCCATACTCCTGCGGGACGAGACACATCAGTGTCAGAAATGTCACCCGGTGTGTTCCCGGGAGCTCGGGGGCTCCCGGCTCGCACCAAGCCCCGGCCAACACCGGTGGCTGCCGCAGCAGCTCCTACCCTGCCCTGGGACAGGAGCTCTGCCGCGGTGGGCAGGGAAAGCTGAGCGAGGGTTCACAGCTCAGGCGTTTCTCATGCAACTTCAGAAATAATTTTCGAGAACAAAGCAGTGAAAAATGTTAGTGGAAGCTTAGAGGAAGAAAAGCAGATGAGGAGGAAGAGGAGAGCAAGATAAGGGCAGAAAAGCAAAGTGCTCCCAGATGTATTTTGGGTCAACTGGTGTCCAGTTCACCATTTCACTGGTGTGCATCATCAAGTACGCACTGGCACGCTCGCACATCCCCGGTCAGATCGTCTGCCGCAGCAGACGGACACCTCACGTACCTTGGCTAATTTTTCTCCATCTTCCCTTTTCACCACTCTGTCCTGGGCTGAATCCACCTGCCGACAGGAACGGCAAAGAGCAATTTGGGATGATTTGGCAGGTCACCAGCAGGCAACCCCTGTCCCCGCCTCATGCCCTCCCGGGGTTCCCTGCCGGCGGCTGCGACGCGGCTACACCATGGGACTGTCGGGAGGAAGGCAAAGCCGTGGGGCTGGGCTCACCTTGTTTCCCAGTAACATCAGGACCACGTCTTGCTGCGCGTATTCATGAATCTCTGTCAGCCAAGCCTGGAGGGAGACAGCCCAAGAGAGGGGTTAGCAACAGCCCTGGGGGGGAGAGGAGGAGGATGGGGAGCTGTCGCAGTCCTGGGCACCCTCGGTGAAACGCCGCCGTCCCCAGGCAATGCTGGGGGGCGTTACGTGGACACAGGGAGGAGATGGCTGGGGCTTAGGTGGAAAACAAAAAGCCAATCTCAGAAACTCAGCAGGCAGGGAGCAGCTGATCCCCTGCGATTCAGCAGCACCCTGGGGAGACGGGCTGCTTCCTTCCCCCCCCCGCGGTTCGGCAGGAGAAGCCAGGCAGCAGCCAGCAACTCGGCCCCGGGGACACCCTTCCCCAGGGAGCCCGTGGGCGAGCGGGTGCCCCGGGGGACCCACGGTGGCTGCTGACCAGGCCCCAGTTTTCAAGGACAACAGCCGCCTTTCAACCCTGCCGCCCGCTCCATCTGACCACAGGCGCTTGTAGGATTTTCACCCAAATTTCCCCCTCGGTTGGGACATTAAGACTAAACCTCCTTTTGGAGGATAAGGCCGAGGGTTTACTCCAGGATGTGCCCCATGCCCGTGTCCTGCCCGTGCTGCCCCCGTGCCAAGCACACGTCGCGGCAGGCGGCTGAGCCTGCCTCCCCAAGCCACGGGGTGGTTTCCCCACCCTCTAATCCAGCCTAATCTAATCAAACCTGCCTTAATTCCCTGTAATCCCTGACCCCGCTGCCTCCTGGGTGGGCAGTGCTGCTGCAGCCTGTGCCCTGGCTCCAAGCACCAGCTGGGCTCACGGCAAGCACCGGGCAATCCCGGCTCCACCACCGCATCCCGCAGCAGCAGCCAGCCAGTTCGGGGGAGGCGAGGGACGATTGAGGATTAGAGCCTGTCACTGACGACACGCGGGAGCCCAACACTTGCGGACGCAGCCCCGGGAGCCCATCGCACCCCGGCTGGGCTCAGGGCACTCAGCTCCGTGGATGGGTTGGTCCAAGGGACGCTCAGTCACTCCCGGCAGCCCCCCCCCTCGGCTCCCTTCTGGCACTGCGCCCCCTCTTTTCATTTCAGCACCTCGCAATCACCCTGGGTTCTCGTTCCTCCTCGCCGGGGCCACATGAGCCCCACGAGTGTCCCTCCCGCGTCCCCGTGGGGCCGGGAGAGCCGGTGCTGCAGATGGGGCCGCGTCACCCAGCAGCGTGAAACCTCCAAGTGATTTTTCTGTCTCGTTGCAGGATCACAACCCCAGCGCAGACCCGCAACCTGGTTGGCGACCAGCACTCGCTCTCCGTTACTCCCAGCAGCAGATGCCTCTCCTCGAGCCATCCAGCTCCCCAGGCTGGAAAACACTGGCCAGCCCCAGCTTGCAGGAAACATTCCTGGTGCTGGTGCCATGGGAGCAGGGTGGCAGGACGTGCCCTGTCCCCCCGCCACGGGCCTGCGGGTGCAGGAGGGTGGCAGGCGTGGGGCTGCCAACGGAAAGATGCTCCGGAGCAGGGACAACTCCAGACACCCGGGGTCAGGGGGGGTGCAGGACCCCCCAGGAGCTCCCCGCTCTGGGGTGTTAATGCTGCCTGGCCTCTCCTGTGCTATGGAGCAAGGGGTTTTTGCAGGCACGCAGCCTGCTCGCCACAGACGCACACGGCATACCCCGGTGTCTGGGAAATGAGCAATTACATCCTATTCATTCAGGGCTAATTGCTTCCCGGGCTCAGGGCGTGAGGGGAGGGGACACCGAGGCCAGGTCCTGTTGCCACCTGGTCGTGGGCAGCGTTTGCTCTCCTCCTCCTCTGCCAGATTTAACAGAGCTCTCTGCTCTGACACCGCTCCCCGGCACCCCTGAAAGCGCCCGCAGCGGGGCTGGGTCTGTGAGGAGGGGGCAGCACAAGGGACCCCCCCAAAAGCCGGCAGGAAGGGCAGGTCTGCTGGGGACGTGGAGCATCCAGCAGGATGCGACCCTCTCCCCTGCCCGGGTTTGGTCCCGTTGGGACCTGAAGGTGCAGAGGAGGATGAGGCAGCACCTCGCTCAGTAAAGCTGCCCGTGTGTTTTTAACAGAGCAAATTCTCCAGCCGGTGCTGTAATTACTCACAGCATTGATTTCCCAGTGAAGTGGCTCCCATCACCCCTTTTAGTTGCTATGAAAAGCAAAACCTTCTCTGCCTGTGCTCTGGTGTCCTCGCAGGCAGACCCGGCATTAACCACAGCCCTTCTGGAAACGCTGGCGGTTCCCAGCTCCACCGTACCCCTCCCCGGGGCCGACCCCCAACCATGACCCGTGGCAGGAGGGGCCCGGGGGTGCCGCCCTACCTGGATGTTGTCGAACGACGCTTTGTTGGTGACATCGTAGAGCAGGAGCAGGGCTGCGGAGAGAGGGACGCCGCGTTAGCGCCGGGGCCAAGCAGAGCCCGCGGCTCAGAGCTTGCTCTGCCCCCTTCCCCCGAGGCAGCGCACGCGGCCTTAAACCACCGAGGTCCCTGCTGTAAAATAGAAAGTGATATGCTGTCCTGGGTTGAGTGAGTGGTGGAGATTTTTGGTGGCAGGGGAGGGGGCTATAGGGGCGGCCCCCTGTGAGAAGCTTCTCCAGCTCCAAGTCAGCTCCACTTCTGTTTGGGAAACTGAGCCCATCAGCTGCGCCTCTGCGAGAACGTATTTAAGAAGGGACGTGGTGAGGAGGAGTGGGACTGGTGAGGAGGAGTTGCGGCAGCTGCAAGAACAGCAAGGTCAGGGGGGGAACGGAGGAAGGAAGGAGGGGGGAGGTGTGCCGGAGCAGAGACCCCCCCCCCGTATCCTGTGGTGAGACGGCAGGGCGGCCCCTCCCTGCCACCCATGGAGAGCTACATTGGAGCAGACACCGATTTATGGCCTGTGGCTTCCACCTGATTGATCAAGGTTCTGTGCCTGAAGAAGGCCGGGGTCTTGTGGGAAAAGGCAGCCCCGCTGCTGTAATTCAGCGCTGGGAGGATTGCAGCATGCGGGGGAGTCCCACGCCGGAGCAGCTCGGGAAGGGCTGCAGCCGTGGGAGGGAATCCAGTCGGAGGGAGTTAGTGACCCATGACGGAGCAGTGTGGGGAACGCTGAGGCCCGTGGGAGGAACTCATGTCGGAGAAAGTTTGTGGAGGACTGTCTCTCCTGTGAGAGGGGGACCACGATGGAGCAGGGGGAAGAAGTTCCAGAAACTTCCCCCACTGAAGATAGAAGAAGCAGCAGCACTGACTGCACCCCCCATTACCTGCCCCTGCGCCGCTGGGGGGAGGAGGTAGAGATATCAGGAGCAGAGCTGAGCCCGAGAAGAAGGGAGGGGTGGGGGGAAGGTGTTCTCAAGATGTGGCAATGCTTCTCACTGTCCTACTCTGTTATGTGTTGTTAGTGTCTGTAATAAATGTATGTTCTTTTTTTCTTCCCCTAATGAGTCTGCCTTTTTCTCATGATCATAAAGGGGGATTTTTTCCCCATCTCAGTCCTATCTCGAACCCCAAGCCTGGCTCTCTGTCCTTCTTATTGCTGGAAGAGAAGGGAGAGAGAGCCTCTGCGTGGTGGTTGCCTGCCGACCAGGCCCAAACCACGACACATGCTTAAATCCACCGCAGGCAATGCCTTAGAGTCTTGGCGTTTGCGCCTCGACACGCAGAGGCTCCTCCATCCTTGGTGGCTGCTTCCTATGGGGAAACTGCTCCGGTGATTCCCGACTCCCCCGGCTGGGAGACGGGGTCCCGAGGAGCCGGAGGGAGGGGGCTGCCCCCCCCCGGGAAGCGGAGGTGGCCGTGCTTACCATGGGCATCCCGGTAGTAGGCATGGGTGACGCTGCGGAAGCGCTCCTGCCCGGCCGTGTCCCAGATCTGGAAGGCAGACGGGAGCAGAGGGGTGAGCCATGGGCTGAGGGACCCACCCAGCACCAAAACCAACACCAAACGGCACGGTGCAACCCCCGGGAAGCCGCTTCAGCCCTTGGCTTCCAGGGACAGCAATAGGAAAAATGACAAGTGCAGTAATACTGAAGCAGCACCTCCCCGCTCCTCAGCGCGTGGAGACGATGGTGCATGGCAAAGGGCTCCCGCCACGTCCCTTAATCGGAAAATCCATCCAGCAGATGGATGCGTGGGGACTCGCTAATTTAATTTATCAGTTTTTAATGCAGCAATATGTTTGCCGAGTGCCACGCCGCTGTCGGGGGAAGATCAGTGCTAATGTTATTGAGCTCCTGGCAAAGGGGTCAGAGAAACGGTCGAGTGTCGAGGGGCTGGAGCGGCTCTGGCTGCAGGGGGACAGAAAATCTGCGTGTCCCGCAGGCTGAGCCCGGGGATGTGGATCCCTTCGGAGGATCTCAGTCCCTCTCACCATCCCTCCAGCCCTTCCAAAGCAGGAGCTGCCTGGAAACACCGGGCAAACCCCACAGGAGCTGCTCCGGTCTCGGCGGCTCCGGCCGCAAGGAGGGAGGTGGGCTGGGACGGGGGCCACCACGGCCAGGACAGCCCCCAGCCAGCCCCCGCCGGGGGCACAGAGCGGCCAAAGGGCTCGTAAGGCTGTCGCGGGGCGGGAGGAGACACCACAGCAAAGGGGTGGAGATGGGCGACCCGCTTCTGGGGTGCTCCTCTGCCGAGGGGCTTCACCCCAAACACCCGGGGGGGGAGCGTGGGAGCCGCCACCGGGGCCACGGGGACGTACCTGCAGCTTCACCTTCACCCCATCCACCGTCAGCACCTTATTCTGAAAGAGAAGAGAAAGGGCGGTGAGCGGCGCCGGGGTCACACGAGCACCCTGGCCCCCCCATCCCAGGGTGGATTCCCCCCCCCCGATTTGCTCTCCCCGCTTTATAAACTTGCATTTCTTGGCCCCAGGACCTGTTGGAGCCGTTTGCACCGTGGCTCAGCCAGATCATTCCCCGCGTGTGCGGCAAGCTACGGCTCTTTGGAAACTTCAACCCTCGCGTCTGCAAGGCTGATTTAGTGCAGCGCGTGGCTCGGGCTAGAAGACCTCTGGCAATAAATTAATGAGCGTCAGCATCCCATCTTAATGGCCTTCAAAAGACACAGCCAACTACTCCATATTCAATCAGCAGCTTAAAAATAACTCCCTGCTGTTTGTACCCATTTTTCTCCCAGTGAGTACCGGTTTCTCCTTTTTTTTTTTTTTTTTTTTCCCTGTTTTGCTTGTTTTTAGCAGGAAAGGTGGGAAGGAGGAGGAGGGCGGGGGGCAGTGCCCCTCCACGCTGCCTCACGGGGTTTTCCCCAAAGCCAACGGGAAACTTTTTGTGACTGGCAGAGCCGGGAGCAGTGCGGGGCCGCAGGGTGAGCCCATCGGTGCCCCTCTGGGCGGCTGTGCCGGCCAGCGAGGCCAGGGGACGGATCCTGACCGCGTCCCAGAGCGACCGCCGGCCCGGCGAGCTGCACCAGCCTCTCCAAAGATTAATCAAACGCAATCCTAAAGATCCAGCGGTGCCAGGGGGAAGGAGCAGAGGGGACAGTCATGTGCCTGCTGGATCCCCAGAAATTAGCACGGTGATGGGTAGGACGTGATGAAAACACAGCCAGGGAGCGCAGCAGCCGCTTGCTGCTCTGGTGATGACCGATTTAAATCCCGTTTGCTCTCCCCTCCCCAGGCTGCCCCGACACAGATCGGAAGCAGCAGGAGGGGGCTCAGCCCTGGCTCTCCGCCTGCCCCCCCCAGCACCGGACACACCACCAGCTCCGGTGCCACCAAAACCCTCCCGGGCAAACGGCAGCGCACGCGTGCCGAGAGCCACCCCCCGCGCATTCCACACCGCCAAATACCCGCATCACCACGCCAGGACAGGGCCCGCCAGGCTCTTCGTCGCCGTTTTGATGTTTTTAATTAGGGCAGGGGGAGCATCTCGGCTCCTGCACATCTACGCTTGCCCAACAGAGAGGACATGGGCGAGGTAGAGAGGGCAGGAGTGAGCCAGAGCGCTAAATTTACACCGTCTGCTAAAGCAGGCAGAGGGGAGACGATCACGGTTTATAAATACCTTCAAAGGCAGCGACCGAGACGAGGGAGCGAAGTGATTCACAGCCTGGGAGCGGTAAAAATAGGCAGCCAAGCTGCGGGGTGGGGGAGCCGAAAAGCGCTCGAGGAGCCAGCCAGGGGGGTCGGGACCGGCTCGCCGTGCCCCGCGCGCACAGCAGAGGCTTTCCCCAGGATGCGAAGCCGGAGCGGCTGGTTTGAAGTGCTGAAATCCGAGGGTTTCCCCCGCTCCGAGGTGCTCCCCAGGCCTCGGCACCGCCGCACGCCGGCTCCTGGGTGAGCGTGGCCACCAGCCGTCCCCGGGGCGGGAGCACGGGCCACGGCGGGCGGCGCTGAGCAAATCCGAGCAGAGGAGCTGCACCTTCACCAGCGCGCCGGAGAACCGCGCTGCCAGGCACCCGTTTCACAGATGAGACCGGGCAGGTTTCCTCTCTGCAGAAAATCCGCCTCCAGGGCTCAACCTGCCCTCCGAAACCCCGGGTCCTACCTGCAGGTCTCGGTGCCGCACCGGAGGAACCGGCACACCCCGCGAGGCGCAGGGGCTGGGAGCCCCGGGCTCTGCACCGGCACGATGCTCATCCAAGTGCTGTCCCAAGTCGGTGGCAACCAGCTGCCGAAGCCACTTGCCAGAGACGCAGTGCCAGGAGCTGCAGGGGAAGGAACACACTCTGCGTTTTCCCCGTCGGCTCCGGAGCACCCAGCTGCTCCGGAGCTCGGCACAGGTGCCAGCAGCTCTCCCAGGGGACGAGGACGCTTGCTGTGATGGATAACGGCAAGGGACGAGGACACCGGGAGCTTCATATTAAAATATGCCCCAAACAAGTGCCCTTCCCCCTGCAACACCAGCTGCACCAGCACCTCCAGCTCGGAGCAGAGTGTGCGCCAAGGGGTGGCTGGGCCCGGGGACGTGGCCATGTCCCCACCGTGGCCACGCTCCAAGGGTGACCGGCCACAGAGCAGGAGGGAGGGAACGTGGCCCCGGCCCCGAGCATGAGCCAGCCGAGCCGAAGCCGTCACAAAGCATCTGGTGAGCAGCTGAAAAAGCCGAAGCTCTGAGGCCGCACCTCATGCGTCGACCTCCACTTCAGGAGCTTAATTAACAGCAAAGCTGGCAGCAGCAGGATTCGCGCTAATTACGACCGACCTACATTTTAGGGACAGAGGGAAAAATGCTTAAACCTAATTAAAGTCTGTGTGTGGACCCAGGTGCTGCTGGACCAGGCTGGGGAGAAAACTGGATTCCCCGGGGTTTGGGTATGGAACAGAGCGGTGTTTCAGGGCAAGTATTTGCAGAGATGCTCCTGCAGGAAACAGCTCTTGCCTGCATCCCTGCCTGCACCCCTGCCTGCATCCCTGCCTGCCCTGAGCACCGAGTGGCTGCAAAACACGGGTGAAGAAGCCGAGCAGAAGGTGGGAGGAGCGGGGTGGGACAAGGCCAGGGCTGCTGCCAGCAGCACACAACAGCTCCCACCGGTGCCACGTGAACCCGATGCCCAAGTCTTCCCCCATACCGCAGCTAATAGACTTTCCAGCTTCCAATTATTATTCTTTTTTTAAGAAGCCGCAGTTCAATTTCATACTCGCAGCCCTTCAAAGGCACAGCTGGGGGGGGTTTAACTACTAATAAGCATCCAAAGACAAAAGACGATGTGTGTCAATGCACTGAAACATGAAATACGCTGCCAGGCCTGATCGCAATGAGAGGGGTTGTGTTGCGCAGGGTTTGTTCTTAATCTTGCACCATTTAATATAATAGAGGTAATACTCACAGCAGGCCACCCGCTATGCAAAAGCAGGCAGGAAAGCCATCCCCGCAACTCAGCTCTGTTGTCACCCTTTGCAATTTCAGTTTTTGTGTGTCCTTTTTCCTGGGGTGTTGACAATGTTATTAAAATGTCTTCTAGCAGGGGCTGCAGTGGAACGCCTGGAGTGCCTTTGTTGGAGGAACATGACGCTCTTAAGTTGAATAATCCTCAGGACGTCAGATAAATAAAGTTGGAACCTTGCAGATGCAGGGAAAATTAAATTACCAAGTGCAGATGGTCCTCAATTAAGAGCAGCATTATCAACACACCGCTGGCTGCAGCCCCGGCACGAGAGCGGCCGTTCGGCGACAGAGAGGAGGCTGGAGAAGGTGCCCATGATGGAGTGGAACGTGCTCCCCGAAACGTGCACCCCAGGAGGTGCCCCCGCTGCTGGGGCCAGCCGTGAGCAGCTGCAGTTGGGGTAACGCCGGTCCACGGGGTCCTGGTGAACCACCCCGGGAGCGACCGGCACACCCCGGCCCGTCTGCAGGCGCCGGAGCCCACCCCAGCAAAAACTGCCCCGTAACCCAGGGTGTGCCATCGCCCCGCAACCTGGCCTCTTCCTGGCTTTTCCACGCCTTAACTCCTGAATCAAAGCCTTAAAAAATGAAATCGGATACGCGATGCTGCCCAGGAGCACCCACCGCCATCCCCCCCAGCTGCCCGAGCGTCTCCCTGCGTGGGTTGGCACGGCACGGCACGGCACGGCACGGCTGCAGCCCAGCACGCGTGGCCCCGACAGGAGGAAAGGGGACGGGTGGCATTTGGGGAGCGGTGGGGGGGGACCCCAGTGAGCCCAGCCTGCAGCCCCGCTCCTCCCCAAACCTTTGGGGTTGTTGCCTGGAGAGGGGAGAAGCCCAGGGGCTGGGGGTCCTGGTAGGGACTGAGGACACTCGTCCCCCCGTTGTCGCTGCCAGGGCCACGGCTGTGCCAGCACCTCTGCTGCGGTGGGCTCATCCCCAGAACTTGGGGGGGGGGGGGTGGGTGGGCGGGGGGTCCTGGCCCCTGGCCATCCCCATCTCCACTTCCACGATGGAAAAGCAAAAAAAAAAAAAAAAAAAAAGTCATTAGTGCGCTTTGGAGGCAGCCCCCCCCGCGGCAAACCGGGGGCGAGTTCCTGCGAGAAGGGGAAAAAAACTGCATTAGTGAATATAGATCGACCCAGACCGAAGGCGGCTGGGGCACTGGTGAGTTAATTAGCGGCGGTGACGGCTCTGCTGCGGGACTGCCAGCGCAGCCACCCGGCAAATGTCACCGGGGCTGCGGCATCACGCGCCGGCCGGGGGGGTGCCAGGTCCCCACCGCCACCCCGGAGCACCCGGCGGGAAGCGGGTCAGAAATTGGGGCAGCCTTTATTTTTAGGAATCCAGGAGGAAAAACAGCCAGTACAGCACGGGGGAGAGGGCTGGAGGGATGCTGGGGGACCCCAGCCCCGTGCTGAGGCAGGACCTGGATCCAAATTCCCACTTGGCAAAGCCCAGGGGGCCCCTGGCTCCGCGAGCACAAACGCTGCCACGCTGGGAGGAGCTGGGATGCAGTTGTGATGGGGCTGTAGCAGACAGACAAATAAACACCACCTCCAAAAGCGGCTGCAAAAATAGATTAGGGATCGATATGGAAATCTGCCCAAAACAGCAGGACACTGCATTAAATTTGCTCATTAAAACCCTGAAGTTTTCCCACACACGCGTGTGCCGCTGCCAGCAAGCTGGTCCTGGCAGCTCAGCATCTTCTCCAGCCACAGCAGCCTGGCTCAGGGGCAGCCCGGCCCATTGCCAAGGTCAGGGCTCGGGGAGCAGCCCCCCGCTCTGCCCCCTCGGTACGAATAGGGCTCTAAAAACTCGGTCCCTCAAAATTAAAGCAGCCAAATTGGGTGATTTTTTTTGAGAGCGAAAAAGAAAAAAAATTAATTTTCATTTG